AGCCAGAGTTAAACCACGACACATGAGAAGGAAGAGAACCAAAGCATACTTCTACAGCTTGAAGAGGTTTGGGCTAAGTCATTTGAGCTGGTAATATTTTACTAATCAGTAGGGCTAACTTAATAATCCCTTTTTTGCTCAACTTTTGGGATATAGATCTTGCTAACTTACCTAATTATTCCCAAATAGGTGTATTAAATTTTTTTGTAGAATGTAAATGGATGCATGTCTCTTACAGTATTTCTTTCATCATCGTAACAATGTGGACATGAACACGGTAATTAAGGAAGCTTATCACCTTATGGAGGCTACACCACTAGATATCCATCCACAGCGTATGCTTGATGACTTCATACCACTTACAAAAGGACAGTACCCTATATTTAATAAGTATCCCCAGTTCATTGTGGATTATCAAACTCAGGAACGGGAGAGGATCAGACAGGATGAAATTGAATACTTACGAGAAAGGTATTAATGGGAAAGCTGAAGACGGTATCAGCCTGGGAGGGCCAGGTGAACACAATTGCCTTTTTCTGTGGTAGGTTGTGTGCTTGAGAAGAGAAGACAACTGAGGAATTTCAGAAAGATGACTTCAAATACCTGCTAAAGCTTAGGAGTTACTTGGTTTGAGACATTTTTAAGTTAAATCAGTAGTCTTACCTTAAGTAGTGTTACGCAAGTCTTTGCTAGAACAGTCAATTTCTAAGTAATCAAGTAATTTCTTGATACTTGCCTTGCATTATTAAAATGTGCTCTCCTTCCACTTAGACAATTAGCACATGAATTAGAAGCTAAAGCACAGGAACAGAAAGCAGAAGATGAAGCCTGGTATCGAAAGCAGGAATTACTTCAAGAAGCTGAAGAACAGAGGAGAAAAATGCTATTGGAAGAAGAAGAGAAGCTGGCGGATCAGAGGAAGAGGTATTATAAGAAGCAGTAGGGGCCTGGCTGCTGTATCCTGCTATTATATTTTTAACCATGAGTAAAGGAGAAATAGCCACTAATTTGTATAAATGGTAATGTGGGAAAACAGTGTGGTCTGGTGGGTCAGATTTTGTTGTGGGAATGAAGTGATCTGGGTTGTATTACTGTCTTGCCTGAAGGAATACAGCAGATTAGAGGCCAAGTCACTTCTTATTTTTGGCTCAGATCACAGCCTTTTGTCTGGTCTCTTCGGATTGTGAATACCTTAAGCAGTCAATTGCTGCGTGTTTGCACACTGAGACTGGAGACTTGCATGTGGGCAGGTTCACACAGCAAATGTACAAGTCACAGTGTCACTGTACACATTCTTGTTTCCAGTGGATTTAGAAAAAAGGCTGCTTCATATATCAGTTGCTGAGCAAAGAGTTGTGAGAGTACCGAAGCTGAACTGTTAGTTTGTGCATTTTGCAGTTGTGAAGGTTTAAGAGAATTTCAACGTCTCTGTAGCTTTTTTAGATCAACTACAGGTAATCACAGAATCATTTAGTTTGGCAAAGACCCCCAGGATCATTGACTCCAAACATTAACTTAATGCTACCAAGTCCACCACTAAACCATGTCCCTTAGTGCCATGTCTACAGGTGCTTCTCTTACAGGTGCTCTGTAACCTACAGAGTAAGTTTGGTGGGTTTTCTGGGGGGTTTTGGTGGGTTGGGTTTGGGTTTTTTTTTTTCCAAAGAGAGCAGTGAGCCTTTCTTTGCAAGCTAATTCTTAAGTCTGTGGTTTTGTTCCTTGAAAGAGTTTGGTATTTTCCAAGTAAATCTAGGACTAATTTTGTGCAGAAAGAGGTACCAGGACACTGGCAATTATTCTAAGGAACTGCTTCCAGTTCTGGATCATTGCAATAGTAAACTAGTGCTTATTAAGGTTGAACAGAAACAGCACAGGACTTCAAAGTTTAATTGGGAACATTGCCATTAGAGGATGTCTGTGTGCCTGTGTATTTAATTTTGTCTTGTAAATGAAAACTGGACAATTTACAAGAATGAAAGCAACTGTCCTAAGCATTCTAGATGAGAGATTAGCCCATAGTAACTAATGGATAACTGCAGTGCACGTTTGTGCTCTTTCGTACTGACCTCTTGTATATACAAGTTCCCTTGTTTCTCTTTGTTTTGGCTTTGAAGACTAGCTGCTGTGAAAAGAGAACTGAAAGTAAAGGAACTACAATTTCTAGATGCTTCGAGAAGGCGTTTTCTGAAATACCAGCAAGAGCAGCGTCAAATGGAACTGAAACGTCTTGATGACGAAATTGCAAGAAAGGCTGAGTATTGCTCAAGCAGTTCTTTTCTTGAAGGTTTTTTTAGTGAAAGTAAACAAGGAAAAATGCCTAACTAAAGTTTCAGTTGATATACTGTGATTTGTGAGCCCAGAGGTGTATTTAGCATGAGATGGACTGATTTAAGTGGTAAATGCATAATTTAACAGTTTTATTTGGCACTTACGGCGTTCCACTGGTTTGCTTTCACTGGCAAAATTCCTGATAAAAGCCACATTCATCTGTATATTGGCAGTACTGAAAAATGTAATGTGCTCCTTAGAGGAGTAGTGAATTCTCAGCTGTCTGTGGGCTGTATGTCCGGACTGCGAATTAACTCTGCCATGGATGGAGGGGCTCTGCAGCGGCCTCTGCCCAGGCCTGGCTCTGTTCCCGTGTTACTAGCTTGAGCACCATGGCATGCAGATGCTGAGAATGGAAGCGTTTGAACCTCGTGGGCACGAGTTGGGTCTTCGCAGGGCCATTCCTCGTGTCTCAGCTGGACGTTTTGCAGAGCGCAGTGCAGCTGTGTGTATTGGCGGTTAGGGCCCTGTAAGATTTGTTAGCTCCAGCTCCTTGTAGGTTCTGCCAGGTGCGAAGTGACCACTTCCCGCATACTGTCCTCCGCAGCGTTCTGGGTTCGGAGACTACTTACTCGATTCGGCTGCATCTGGCAGGTTATTAGCGCTAGATCAAGCCTGACATTTCCCTAATATGCCTGGCTGGACACAAAACTATTCCCATGCCTCTTCTCCATCTTGCCCTGTACTTTTGATAAGCCATGCTTCCCATTATTCATAGTATGACAGAAAGTTAACTAGAATTTATAAGTAAGGTGTGGCCTGAGGTTTTGGACATTCTTGTTGATACTGGGGTTTTTAAGGGAGAAGAATCTCTCTTCTACTGTATGTTCACATGTTTCTCTTCTCCTCAAGGCATCCATGAGAGAGCAGGAAACAGCTGCTACTGTCCAAGACGTGGAACTACGACGGATGGAACTTGAATCACAGAGGCAGCTTTTTGAACAGGTAATCATTAGGGAGTTATGCAGATGTTTATATTTAATGGTTCTTCCTTTGCAGTTCTCTGATTCAGTTGTGTTCATCCAACCAGACTTCGTGAGGAAAGACGGGGCTTTTTTTTTTTCCCTCTCTGATAGCTTTTTTAGAAAAAAGCCTCAGTTGATAAAAGCATAGGTAGAATCACTGTTACTTGTTTTTCTGGGAGAAAATGCCCGTGTCCTCCCCATTATATTCTTCTCCTGTGCAGAGACATCATTTGGTTGCTGCTGGGTTTAGCTGTGTGCTCAGCTGGTTGAGATAAGCAAGGAACGTGTAAATAAGACAAAAGTCTGTAACAATATGTGCCTCATCCCAGAAACTCCCACCCTTTCATCTGTGATATCCAGATATATCTACATTTTCTGGAGAGAACAGTATAGCAGATTGATGTAGGTGATGAAAAAATATCTTATTGCCAACAACATCATTAAGCAAAAAGGAATGGATGGTTCGTGGGGGATGTGCAGTTCCTTTCCCAAATGACTGGCTTGTAATTCAAAAAGATCACTATTCAGTAACAAAAGGTTTTAATCAATAATACTGTTTAAATATGATTTTTTTATTAGAAATAATTATTATAAATGACTGAAAATCCAGGCTGCCAATGGGAGGCTTTAATCATGTCCATTTTGGTTAGGAATTGTAAATTAAGTGTTTAGAAATCACAGCTACATGTGCCCATATTGCATAGGTGCAGATCCAGTGGAATACAGGCAGAAGTTGCCATCCATATAGTGAACCCTTATGAAGCATGTGGCTGCTTACATTTGGCTTTTGGAGATTTTTGGTTATAGACCTTTTGTAACTCACACTGAGCATAACTCGGCTGAAGTTCTTTCACATTTATTTATTGAATACGCAGCGGGCTGTATTGTGGCTCCATAACCCAAACCAGGCTAAGCTCCTTTGTGTTCCAGTACATGTGAAGTCAGCTGTTTAATGGAACTAATTCTACAGTGATCATCCTCTTTAGGCTAGAAAGGTAGCAATTATTTAACGAACTGAGGGTATGTCTGCCCACAAGAGTCTGCACAGGCAGGCCTTCCCTGCCATTCGCTGAGCTGACTGTTTTACTGCTGTCAGCAAGGGGCTATATTCAAACTTGGAAGGCCATGTATGTTAACTTTGCTTCAGTACCCTGCTGACACAGCTCGAGAGATTCCCACAGGCTGGAGAAGGGGTCAGGTCTTCTCCAGAAAACTGTATAGTTGTGCCCTGGTGGATATGAAGAGAAGGTGGTGAGAGTTAAAATTCTATTTCTAGATCCACTGCTGATTTGGACTACTTTGGCAAATCATCTGCTGCAGATGTGTTTGTTGTAAGTCCCTGCACCATGAAACATGGTTTACATTTGTGAAACATTTTGAGGTTTTGGCTGAAATGTGCCATAGAAATGCAGAATATTTTCCTGATGAATCCAGTTCATTTAAGTTGGAATTCTGTTTTTACGCTCCACTGTAATCCAGGGAATGGAATTACATCAGTATCAATCTGCAAGACCACTGTGATGACTCAGCTTAGTGTAATTACGAGTGGATAAAACAGCAGGGACCATTACTTTCTTGGACAATTATGATATGTAGTGGGATGAGATGTGTGGATATATTCAAATATTATTTTAATGAAATTTTAACAAATGTTAAAAGAGATGGAATTACAAATGTGGGTTAGTAGCTTAGCAACAACAATTTATGTCTGTGTGTTTGGCAGCATCTAATCAAAGATCAAGAGGCAGTTACAAAGGAAATGAAAGAAGAGGTGGATGCCCATCGAAGAAAGGTGGATCTGGAAGATCGTCTTGTTCAGAGAATGATGGAAATAGATAGAGAAGAAAACCAGAAAGCTCAGATAGTAAGACGGTTGTATCTTAATGTATTTTGGGGAGTTAGTATGCTAACTAGAATCACAGAATGTTTTGGGTTGGAAGGGACCTTAAAGATCATCTAGTTTGAAACAAGCAGTTCTAGTTAATAGTATTTTAATTGCAATTAACTAGTTCAAGTTAATACTAAAATATTTTCTAAGAAAATCTGAAGGCTAGATACCTATATTAATAGATTATGATGGTATGTTTTAAGTTCTGAGGTTTTCAAAAATCTGACTGAAGTGTCCAAACAGCTACATAATATAATACTGAAATTCTCTGGACCTGCTGTGAATATTAAGTTTTCTTTACTTCTCCAAACTTCGAAGGTATATAAGTCTCAAAAGTGCTTTTCAGGATGTCACCCTTCTGTCAAGGAAGGTGACTCCTGTTCCCCTTGTTGAGGAACAGGTTTCATTTGTAACCATAATAAAACAAAAGTCAGCCTCCAAGGAACTTTCACTTGGTAGTACATGGCAGGGAATTCAGCTGTAGAAGCTGTCTTCTAGATCACAGTGATGAATGGGTGTAGCTTGACATTAGGAAATGTTCAGATTTCCAAGCTCAGAACTTGTAACTGCACAGTTGGAAAAATAGTTGCAGCTAACCCACTGCCCATATGCTTGGCATCTGCATTTATATTTTGTCTAGAAATAAACATACGGGTCTGAATTTTTGTAAACAGCCTTCGATTGTTGGAAGCAGATGGATGTGGGTGGAAGTATTGGCATCCAGGTATCAGTCTTATGTTAACTGTACCTGTAAATCGTACTGAACCCATGCTAGGAAAGCAAAATCCCCAAAATCATGGAGAGGGTTGGTGCCTCTTTCCAAAAGATTAATTAAAAAACCCCAAAACAGAGACCCTCAGTAGGGGAAAGAGAAAGACAGCTGAAGAAGCAGAAGAAACCCCTGACAGATGAGACAGCCTGCTGTAACGATTGGAGGAGCAGGGGCTTGCACAGCGGTACTGGAGAACACGTTGGTCCATCTCACCTTAGGCTGCGTACTTGAAACAGAGTAAATGGCTTCCTGGTAACAAAGGTCTTTTGTTAGGTGGCTGAAGAAAACTTAGCCAAAGCGGAGCAGAAACGCATTGACACCAACTGGAGGTTGCAAGCGTTGCATCAACTAAGGCGCGATGATCAGGCCCGGGAGAGGCATTACGAAGAGATAGCCAAGCTCCTGCATGACAACAGGGCGAAAGAAGCTGAACTGCTGAAGGCCATGAGGGAAGCAGAAGAAAAAACGGTATTTGCGTGATTTCTAAGTGGGACTGGCACAAATGTTCCTGTCTTTTGCCCATAACATGGTAGAGCAGAAAGAGAAATATTTTGTTAGGAATGTCCCTTCCGGTTTTGACTGGAAGTTTCTGGAAGCACTGGAGCAAAGTGGCAAGGATATTTTAGGCTTAGGAAACCTTATTCCTAATTCTAAAATTGACTCATTTATTTTTCTCTGACCTAAGACTTTCAACTTTCCCCAGGTGTTTGAATGAGAAATATTTCAAAAAGAAGCATTCACCTAGCTTAATAACATGTATTTAGATTTAAGAGTGTTTAGTCTGTAATCATAGAATCATAGAATGGGTTGGGTTGGAAGGGGCCTTAAAGACCATGCAGGTTC